TACCTCCATTTACCTAGAACTTGTCGTGTACTCCGTTACATCATCTATTCTACTGGAAACCGGTAGATGTATCTTTGTAGTCTGATCATAATCGCCAGGCTCCTTAGTAATTTCACCATCGTGGATTGATCTCCCAGTTGACAAATAAACTTCAGTACCTTGTGTTTCAGTCTCATGGAGGCCTTCAGTAACAGTGATCGATGATATCGTTACGGGCTCCAACGTAACGAAATCATCTCGAGTCGAACTCGTTGATGGAGCTTCAGTAAGAAAAATGCTGCTATCGCTGCTAACACTAGAATCTTCGTACTTTGATGTCGTAGTCTTTTCCATAATTGTATATCTCTTCGTATAAGGTGAACTACTTGTTCTCAGAGATGTCGAATAAGTGGCAAAGCTGATAGTTGATGGGGATGATAAAGATAAAGATGTGTCCATTAACGAAGTCGATTCTTCAGGTGAAACTATGGCAGTTGTAGTTCTGATTAAACTCGTTTCTTGTTCAGATGTGTCTTCCATTTCTAGAGTAGTTGTCGATGGAAAACTATATTCGCACATAGGACCACCGTAATTCGGTGGACACGCACAAGTAAAACTATTGATACCATCGATACAAGTACCTCCATTGTTGCATTGTGCAAATTTCGATTCACAATCGTCATATCTTAGCTCACAAAATACACCATGATAATCGGGCACGCAGTAACAAACTGAACGATCGTCCTCCAGTAGACATACCGCTCCGTTTTGACAAGGATTCTCTTTGCACGGCACAATTGCCTTATCGCAGTCTTTGCCAGTAAAACCTTTAATAAAAATAACAAAATGTTCATTAGAATTTATACGTTATATACAATGTTAGAAAAATAAGAAAAGTGGTATATATTATTTTTTACATTCTTTAAAGAGTACTCATCCTAAAAAGATAACGATAGTAAGATACTTGTAACTTCCGAAATTTAATTTTATGGTTTCATAAGTTATTTGTGCTATTTCTAGACAAAAATATTTGTAACTCATGGCAAGAATAATTTATTTACCGAA